TAATTGAACTGTAATGAATACTTTTATCAATAGTGTATGTTAATTGAACTATATAATTAATACTTTTAACACAAGTGTATATTAATTGAACTATATAATGAATACTTTTAACACAAGTGTATGTTCATTGAACTACATAATGAATACTTTTAACACAAGTGTATGTTAATTGAACTGTAATGAATACTTTTATCAATAGTGTATGTTAATTGAACTGTATAATGAACTCTTTTAACACAAGTGTATGTTAATTGAACTGTCTAATAAATACTTTTATCAATAGTGTATGTTAATTGAACTGTATAATGAAGACTTTTATCAATAGTGTATGTTAATTGAACTGTATAATGAAGACTTTTAACAAAAGTGTATGTTAGCAATAGCAAAACAAATACTTTTAACTCAAAAGTACATGTTAATTGAAATGAAGAATTAATACTATTAATATGAGAAGGATGTCTTAATCAAACCAAAAAGTGATTAACTTGCAATGTAAGATGCCTGAAACTAAGTATGAGCACTTATATACAAGAGGAAAACATTTTAGAAAACAGTAACACTAAATCTGAACCTTGTATGATTACATTTAAATTTATAGTTTTACAGAAAGATAAGTTACAGAACCTAAATTATGATCTGCTTCAACACACAGTTGTACCATTAAAACACAATAATTTTTTTTTGAAACCTTAACACATCACTTGAAAACACAACAGCTAAAAGAACTACTCCTTACGGGTGATGGCAGTGACTGGTATCGAATGTAGAAACCGGCTGTTACCAAACATACATCTCTTGCCACAATCAGAGTAGTAAGAGGAACTAGAAGTCAAAGACAAAAATTAAAAGGATGTTATTCAAAATTATAAAGAAAAGAAGTATTTTTGTGATAATATACATACACATATATACAGAAACTGTCTAGCCACAGAGAGAAACACTGTACTTAAGCAAACTACCATAAAAACAGATAACAGCAAGAATTTAATTTCATTCTTTATAAGCAAAGTGAAATATTTTGCAATAAAAGCTACCAAGACTAACACTAGAGAATGCAATGAAAACTATCAAAACTAATATAAGAGAAAGCAATAAAAAGTACCTAAACTAATGTAAGAAAAAGCAATAAAAACTATCAAGACTAATATAAGAGAAAGCAATAAAAAGTACCTAAACTAATGTAAGAGAAAGCAATAAAAAGTACCTAAACTAATGTAAGAGAAAGCAATAAAAACTATCTAGACTAATGTAAGAGAAAGCAATAAAAAGTACCTAAACTAATGTAAGAGAAAGCAATAAAAACTATCTAGACTAATGTAAGAGAAAGCAACAAAAACTATCTACACTAATGTTCGAGAAAGCAATAAAAACTATCTAGACTAATGTAAGAGAAAGCAATAAAAACTACCTAGACTAATGTAAGAGAAAGCAATGACAACTGCCTAGACTAATGTAAGGGAAAGCAACAAAAAATTATGGCACTGGAAAAAAAAATCACACCATTATAATAGTTAAACACAATTTATCGATGTGAAGATAGCATTGTCAGACCAACTAGGGAATTGAAACAGGTAAAATTAGTGTTGCCAAAATGAATAACAAAACAGTTCGGATGTTATGACAACTAAAAAACATTAACTTCACCAGAAATGTTCGTGTAACTGAAGATTGATATACAAAATTTAACTAATTCATGAAGTATTGATAGTAAAGCCTGACAACCTAGATCTGTCTTAAAGTGACATGAGAAAACATCATTGTGATGATCACTTAACATTTTGGACATAAAATATCACCACAATAGTAAGTTTGAAGACTTTAATGGGCTACAGTTGCATGTTAAAAGAAATGGAGAGGGCATTTTGGCTTCTATAATGAGGCCTCAGTGCAGAAGCCAAAATGTTGTCTCCTTTTGTTTCAACAGGTAGTTGGATTTTATTAACCTTTTCGAGACGGATCAGAGGTGAAAAGTCATGTCGTCTTGTTTGTCGACTCGCATTCAAAACTTTATTGAACTAATATTTCATGAATTTATGTCAATAAGTTTGGTATCAAACTGTAGATTATAATTAAAATTTTAGAACTATACATAACTCAATTTGTTAATTTAAAAGTTAAATGTAAATAAAATAATAAAAGTTGTTGAATGTAGCACTGGTTCAAATTAGATGTTTGTGAAGTCAAAATACTAAGTCTATAGTTTCGAACAAATTAGAAACTCAAATTACAGATATTAACAAGCTAGAATATAAAATAAGAGTATCTTATCTTTTCAATTTGCTAAGATATTGCTCACGTAATAAATCAAACACAGTGGCACCCCAC